ACAGCCAGAACGGAGTAATTGGTTTTCAGTCCATTCCTATGGGAAATTTTGCTTCAACTTAAGAACGTTTCAACTTAAGAACACCATTCCAAAACGGATTAAGTTCTTAAGTGGAGGTTCCACTGTACAGATGTCAACACCTGTTGTGGGATCAACTGCCTGCAGCATAGAGGCCAGATTTCCCGTGTTTGGCGCCTTGCTTTCTTGGTGTGCCCTAAAGCCCCTGGAACAACCCAGTGGATTCCTTGCAGGCTGCGACTTTTTTGGCTGCCGAGACCTTTTGGGAAAGAGCCGTCCAACCCACGTTTTCCTGCCTCACCAGCCTCTTTTCTTTTCCAGGTGCACTGCCAATGACCTGAAGTGCCTCGTCAGGTTGATTAAACACGACTTGAAAATGAATGCTGGAGCAAAGCATGTGTAAGTTGGATTCCTTTCCAGGCAAAGAGTGCATGGAGGAGGAGGAGGAGAGTTTCATGCTTATTCTGAAAGAGATTCATCCCGCTGCACACCGGTTCAGAATTTATCATAAAGAATTGGGGTAGAAACAGCCACGGATGAAATATTTTCATAGAATCATGGAGTTGGAGGGGGCACTGAGTCCAACCCACTGATTAATGCAGAAATCCAAATCAAAGTACAGTGGTGCCTCGCTTACCGGGTGCCCCGTTTAACGAATGATCCGCATACCGAAGGTGATTTTGCGATCTCAAAAGCGATCGCAAAACGATGTTTTCAATGGGGGAAAATCGCTTTGCGATTTTCCCCTACGCCCCATTTTCGCGCAGGTGATGGGCGGGGCTTCCGGCGGATGGGGGAAAAGGGATTCCCCTCCCCATCCTGCGGAGCTGAGCTGAAATGCCGGCTTCAGCATGGGCTTCAGAAGGGGAGGGGGAAGGGATTCCCCACCTCCGGAGCTGTGCTGAGATGCCGGCTTCAGCGTCAGCTTCAGGAGGGGAGGGGGAAGGGAGCCATCCCTTCCCCCTACCTTCCCCCAGCTGACCGGCGGCGGCAGTGGAGGGGATGAGGGGGTGCTTCGGGACTGTGGGGAGGCAGGGCAAGGCCCAGGTGTTCCGGCGGCCCTCCTCCTACCGGCGGCAGCGGCGGCGACCGGGGGGAGGGGGGGTTCGGGGAAGTCTGACTCTGGAACTCCCTATCACAAGAAGGGGAGAAGGGCTGTCATTAAAAGGACAACCCGCACGTTTCTTTCTGTGCCTTCCATCAGATCCATCGATACCAGAGTGGCCCCTGCGGTCGGAAATCACAACGATGTTGTTAAGAAACGCAGCACGCAGGAAACATGTCTGTTGGTGGGCTGTCGGGACCCCCTTTTAGCTGGGGAAACCAAGCATAGCTTCAGCATGCCCGGTTTCCCTGAGGCATTGGTGGGGTTTTGGAGGCGGTGGGAGGTGCAGCTGTAGGTTTACACTGTGAAGCTCCTATAGGATTCTGACCACAGCAACTGTTAGCATGATTGAACTTCCACTTCCAGGAGCACTATACCTTTGCCTACTAGTTGCTAGGCTGGGGAAAAAACTGAAAGAGGCCATTCCCTTCCCAGTGCCACTGGCAAGCTTCCCAAGAAGCATTTGTGTCGTCTGTTGGGGCAACCAGGGGCTGATTCTTGGGGAACCCTTGAGTCTCATCCTGCCGAGCGCTTTTTCTCTGAAACCGCATGTGAAATGTTTTGAAGGATTTTGTGGGGAGAAGAACACTGGCACTCTTTTTTTTGGAAGTCCGGCTGCAAAGGGGGACGCTGCTCTCTTTGGAGGGGGGAGGGCTCTGCCTAAAAAGAGCCACAGCGGCGGCCATCTAGCTGCATTCCCGAGACCAGCCAGCCTCCGGCTTTGTAGCTCTGCACACTGACTCCCAGCAGCCTCAGCCGACATGGCCAATGGTCAGAGATGATGGTCTTTGTGATTCATAAAATCTAAAGCATTACGAAGATTGGGGATGGCCACTCGAGTCAGATAAGTAGAACCCAGCGAGGGTGTACCTGCTTCCTTCTCTCTTGCTCCGTTTCACAAGCGTTTCTTCTTCTTTTTTCCCCCTTGTCCTCCTCCAGCCTCGATGCTTTGGACCCGAACGCGTACGAGGCGTTTAAGGCATCGCGCAACCTCCTGGACGTGGTGGAAAGGGTGCTTAGGAACCACCACGAGTCCCAGAAGGTGCCCGGCATGAAAAGAACGCTCAGCGTCCAGGCCACCCTGATGACTCCAGTTCAGCCGATGCTGGTAAAGAACCGCTGCTTTACAGGCGTCCCGTGTAGGGCCTTCCTGAGGGTGGTAGCCAAGCTCTGGGACCTCCCCTTGGAGCCTTGCTCAGCCGCCCCTCTCTTTCGTTCTTTGGGCTGCTTAGGAAGACGGTGATGTTCAAACATATTGGCTGAAATCATCTTATTCATTATAACGATCGGGGAGAGAAGCGCGGACGGGGAACCAAAGGTTCTCGCCTCCTCGGGTCACACATTTTGGCGCTCGAAATGTCCGGTGGGACTTCCCTCCCCTTCTCCGTTCTTGTTTCGAGGCGGAAGCCTGCAAGTCCATTGAGTACGCCATGAAGAAGTGCCCCAACGGGATGTACTCAGAGATCAAGTACGACGGGGAGCGTGTCCAGGTGCACAAGAAGGGGGACCACTTCAGCTACTTCAGCCGTAGCCTCAAGCCCGTCCTTCCCCACAAGGTGAGTGGAGCCCCTCCCGGCGGCTCACCGGCAAAAGCCCAGGCTGGCATCTCACACCTCCCTGGTGGCTGGTGCTTGCTCTCTCTCTCTCTCACTCCTAGGGATAAGGGGAAAGCCACTCTTTACAATATTGATATATAATAGATCTAGAGAGAGATTCATTGCATCCAACTCATGGCAGAGCCACTAGTGTGGACAGCAACCAAAAAAAATCACAATAATACAACAAGTACACAACAAACCCCACAACAACTACAATCACAGAAACAGCAAGCAGGGGATGTAATATCTAAAAATAAAATAATAAAGAACAGTGGCTATAAAATAGATAATATTGAATGCAATAATAATTTGGTACCAAAAACAGGGCAGTGTACCCGGCTCTCCTCCCATCTCCCCTTTTATCCTCCCAACGGCCCTGTGAGGTAGGGGAGACGAGAGGCGGAGGCAGAGACTGACCCAAAACCGCCCAAGAAGTAAAAGTTGAATGGCTCTGTGGGGACCGGGGTCTTTTGAAGTCCCAGTCTGGCCCTGCAACCACTACCCCCAACTGCCCTTCTCCTTTAGTGCAGGAGATTATCCAGGAATGAGGGGCGCCTCCCACTTCTGGGAAGCCCAGTCTGTGTCCAGGTAGCCAACGTGGACAGTGTCGCGTCGTCCTTTGCCTCCAGGCCTCCTCTGGTGGGTCTTGGGCATCTTAAGAGAATGGGCGGCTCTGCCCTGGCGTAAAAAGGAGGGGAGGGGGCTGGACCACTCCAGAAAGGGGGCTGAGCGAACTCCGCCGGAGGGTCTGAAGTCAGCCGCCTATGTCCGCTTGCCTTCCGCCAGGTGGCCCATTTTAAGGACTTCATCCCCAAGGCGTTTCCAGGAGGGCACAGCATGATCCTGGACTCTGAAGTTCTCCTGATCGACACCAAGACCGGGAAGCCGCTGCCTTTTGGGACCCTCGGGGTGCACAAGGTAGGTGATGGGATTTTTTTGTCTCTCTTTCTTCCCCCCCGCCCCCGAATTCCTCAGCAGAAGAAAAACTGCACAACTGTGATTTGTCCCTGTGGGCTTTGTAAGATGGAGACGGGTTGCGGCCGAAGGAAAGTAGCCCGAGGGTGCCCGGAGCCTACGGTGAGAGAGTGGCTTAGGAAAAAGGGGTCGTCTCTCTTTCACGGACTGCTGTTTCTCTTTTGCAGAAAGCGGCTTTCCAAGATGCCAACGTCTGCCTGTTTGTCTTTGACTGCATCTACTTCAACGACGTCAGCCTGATGGACAGGTGGGTGGGGAGGGCTTGGCGGAGGGAACGGGAGCCTCTTCCGCTCGCCCTGAGAAGTGGATCACCCGGGAGTGTGAGACCAGCAGTTCCTCTGGTGCCCTGGCAGGGGAGGGAATCCGAGACCTCTGGCCATTATCCCCATGGCCGTGGGGAGAGGGGCTCTCTTCCCTCGGGCCTTCCGTGGGTTCATTCCGCTCAGAACTTGGTCTGATCCTCAGCATGCTGGGTCACATCTGTAGAGGCAAGGCGGTGTGTTTGGAAGAGGTATAAAACCTGATCCCCACAAGTCTTGGGCTCTCGTCTTGGGCCATTCTGCAGAGAATGTCCGTCCAAACACAGATCTGTTTGATCCTAGAGGCCTTGCGTGCTTCTTTCTCCTCTCTTTCTCTTCGTTCCCTCCCCTGGGGCCGCTTGCCCCGTGCCCTTGCCTTCCTCAGGCCCCTCCGTGAGCGTCGCAAGTTTCTCCACGACAACATGGTGGAAATCCCCAACCGGATCCTCTTCTCGGAGATGAAGCACGTCACGGTGGGTACCGTTCTGGGCGGCGGCCGGGCAGTGACTCTCCAGCAGGGTTGACTCCCGAAATCCATGTGTGCTCCCACCTCTCCCAAAGGGACCGAGGAGGGAGCCTCTTTTGGGAGGTGGGCAGAAGAGGGGAACAGCATCCTTCCAACTTGTAAAAGGGGGGGACCCCATCCTGTCAGGATTCTGCTGCTCACCGTCCATGATGTGACCTGGTTCAGGAAAGTAATTTGCAGCCTCTGTGGCAGTAGAGTGGCAGCAAATGGTGCCCCCAAAACACACACACACACGCACGTGTGCACACACACACACAAAAGAGAGAGAGAGGTGCACCATTCACAACTCAGCTCCAAAAAAAAGGGAAGAAAGTCCCTTCTCTGGCCAGGAGAACATGTCGAGGACCGGGATGATAGGCTCAGATACTCCCGGTGCAATCGTTTCTGACTATGTCAGAATTGCTGCACTTGTCATCTCCCTCCCCACATGGATCCCCATAAGGCGGCGAGATGATTGGTTGCATGCAGTGAATTTCCCATCCAGTACAAGCGAACCCTACCTCTCCCCCCCGGCTTTAACCTTTGACTGCCCAGGCCCCGTGGGTGACACGTCTGACTTGGAAAGGGGGCAGCTCCCTTTGGGCCTGCTTGGAACACAAGACGCTTTAGAGGGAGGAGCTTCCCCGTGAAACCTCTGGCAGCCTTTCGCCAGTTCTGGAGGTTCTTGGGGGCGGTGGATGATGTTTGGGGCAGGGGGTTCCTTCTGGGCCCAGCCTGACGATTCCCCCCACCTTCAGAGGACTGGGCTCAGGAGGCAGAAATGATGATGCATGAGCTGGCTGTGTCCTCAGAGCCTCTGCCCGTGTTGTAAAATGCCAAGGCAGGCCAAGTCTGCCTCTACCAGAGCAAAAGTGGCTCATTGTCCTAATGTCAGCTTCTCGTTTTTGACACGGGCTAAATAACACTTTTTAAAAAGAGGGCCTCCTAAGGCAAGTGGTGCACAAGAGAGCCTGGTTTTTAGGCTCTTCTCGGCTCAGTCCCTCTCTTTGCTCTTTTCTAAGAGATGCATACCCTATGGACCATTCAGTGGGTCCCCCTCTTCTTGCCTCTCCTTTGTAAGCGGGCATTTCCTTTTCTCTGTTTCAGAAAGCCTCGGACCTCGCCGATATGATCAATCGGGTGATTCGCGAAGGACTGGAGGGATTAGTGCTGAAAGATGTGAAGGTAAGGAGGGGTATGCACCATGGCTGTGTAAAAACCAGGTGGTTTTCAGCAGGAAAGGGTTCTCACCCACACCCACCCTCACTGCCCTCCGACTTCAGAGATACCAGCAAGGCTTCTCTGTGTGCTTCCATACATGCGTCTACAGCCCCTCAGAACTGGAGCATCTCACTTGTTCACCTTCAATAGGACACAGGCGGAACCCAGAACATGATAGACACTAGTTGAGCCTCGCTGGCTGAGCATGATGGGCGCTGTAGTCTAGCGCATGATGGGGGAGGGCCTTCCTGCTTGGAAGAGGGCTTTGATCAGGGGTTAGTGTTTCTGACCCTTCTCTCTTTCCTTCTCATTTTGGGACATCTAGAGTACCTACGAACCCGGAAAGCGCCACTGGCTGAAAGTGAAGAAGGACTACCTGAACGAGGGCGCGATGGCCGACTCGGCCGACCTGGTGGTCTTGGGTGCCTTCTACGGCCAGGGCAGCAAAGGTGGGGGGGATCTCGTGAAACCGGAGTGAGCGATCCCGTCATGATGGGCCCTTTCTTTTTTGCCCCTCGGAGGAGGAACAATCCCCCCTCCTCTGATATACTCTGTTTCTTGTTTTTTTTTCTGCATGGCAGGGCTGCCAACATTGGACTTTAGGAGTCCTTTAGGCAAGGGGTTACCCCAGCTCTGTCTGGGAACTGAACCCGGGACCCTTACTGTTCTTGTGAAGCAAGGACTGTGTCTTTGAGCGATGCCCACAACCCACCCACTGTATTCGCCATCCTTGGACGCTTATTCAGTTTTTGAAGGATGCCCTTTGCCTCTCGGCCCCCCATACGAGGGATTCCTGGAATTGTATCCACGGGTGGATCGAAGTGATCCGTTCTCCCCCCCCTCCCCTTGAAAACAAAGCTGTCATTTCCAAAAGTTGGAAGCCATTTATGGCTCAAGAGTGAGTAGCAAGGCTGTTGGGAATAACCTCATGGTGCGGCTGGCCCATAACGGGAGTTGTGTGCTTCTGGGGCGGGGGGGGAAGCAGTTTTTGTAGAGTGCAGCTAGTGTGAGCTCCGTTGGGCCAGTGGATTCTGGGAGGGATAGTCCCCAAATGTGCCTTTCCCAAGCTTCGGCTGAGATCTTGACATTGAGAGAGTCTTGCCTTTCACCAAGAGACTCGCAGAGCGACCTTGGATCAGACAGGCACACACAGCCGAACCTACCTCGCAGGGCTGTTTTGAAGATAAAAGCAGGGTGGGGGGGCCCTGTGTGCTCCTTGAGGAAGTAAGCAAGATCACAATTTAATACAAGCCACGCAATCGGCGAGGGACACGGCGGTGATAATTAATGCGAGCTCTGAGAAACCAGAAGATCTCAATTGCTTCCTTTGTGGGCCCTAGGTGGGATGATGTCCATCTTTCTCATGGGGTGCTACGACCCCGACAGCCAGAAGTGGTGCACTGTGACCAAGTGCGCGGGCGGACACGACGACGCCACCCTCGCCCGGCTGCAGAAGGAGCTGGACATGGTGAAGATCAGCAAGGTGGGCCTCTGAGAAACGTCTCCACCTTCCATCCTCCATCGGGCGTGCTCCGATTCCCGTCAGCCGTGTTTGGGCAAAGCGGCCAGGGCTCCCTCGAGGGTCCTGACTCTCACTCTTCGCAAGCATGCATGCACATAGCAGTGCATCGTCTCACTGTTCCGCCTTGCCTGCTTGTCTGCTGGTGTATTGCTACGGTCATTGCTCTGTGCTCTGTTTCATAGGATCCCGGAAAAATTCCAAGCTGGCTGAAGATTAATAAGAATTATTATCCGGACTTCATTGTTCCAGATCCAAAGGTGAGTCTGCCTTGGTAGGACTGGAGGACGGGGGTGGTGGTGGTGTCAGTGGAAGAGGCATTTCTTCTGCTCAAGGAGAAAGCAAGATGTCTGGGAGCATTGGATACTGCAGGATTTCCAAAGCAGAGCTAGATGTGGGTCACTTCGGGTCAAAGGACTTGGAAAAAGAAAAGTACCCTCCCGAAACGTCTGTATCCTTCTCTCTTCTTAAAATCAGAGCCTGCTGTTCTGCTACCTTTGTCAATAGAGAAAATTTACTGTATATACTTCGAGTATAAGCCTAGTTTTTCAGCCCTTTTTTTTTTGCTGAAAAAGCACCCCCTCAGCTTATACTCGAGTCAATGTCAAAATTACACGTTCTTCCCTGCAGTGCGGGTGTTCTCCAAACTCCCCCGCTCATTTATGGGCGCCTGCAGCCTCTGTGGGTGGTCCAATGACCCGGGTTAAGTACACTGCATTTCCGCTTCCAGGACGCTCCCATCCTCCTCCTCCTGCTTCGTCTATGTACCCACTTTCCTCCTCCATCCTCCGTCTCCGCTTCGTCTATGTACCCACCTTCCTCCTCCATCCTCCGTCTCCCTCCATCTTGTTACGCAGCAGTAGATAAGCGCAGCATCCAGTCTGAGTCCTCCCTCCGCAGGCAGTGAAGTGTGTCTTGCAGCTCAGAAGGGCAGTATCTTCAAAAACATTTAACTTACTGATGCCTCAATTAATGTAATTTTATTGGTATCTATTTTTATTTTTGAAATTTACCAGTAGCTGCTGCATTTTCCATCCTCAGCTTATACTCGAGTCAATAAGTTTTCCCAGTTTTTTTGTGATAAAATTGGGTGCGTCAGCTTATATTCGGGTCAGCTTATACTCGAGTATATACAGTATGCAAAAAGAAAAATCATTGGGAGTGTAAGGCAATAGAATCCCTCAACTTAAGGAAGACAGCCTGTCCATGTACTAGATTTCGTGTTTGATACGTGTTTCTGATTTTATATTGGTGCTATGATAACCAGAATTGGACCTGGTATGAATTGACGCTGACCTGCAAGCCCATATTTCTAGCTGCAAGGGTTGGAAGGTGGTTGGCTTTCTTCTGGCAGCAAGCAAACACAAAGAGGCTGAGAGGCTAAAGATGGGAACAAGGATACATTTTCCCCCAGAGGTCACTGGACTACAGGCCCCATCAGCTGCAGCCTGCAAGAAGAATGGGAACTGTAGACCTCTGCAGGTCCGCGGATACTTCCTGACCCTGAGATCTCACCCTGAGCCATTAAAATTAATGAGCGACTCAGCTCAGCCGATCCGGGGTCACCGAGGGTGTTCCTTTGCTTATTTGGGTGCTGGTTGCCCTTCTCTCTTAGAAAGCCCCCGTCTGGGAGATCACAGGGGCCGAGTTCTCGAAAGCGGAGGCGCACACGGCAGAGGGGATTTCCATCCGCTTCCCCCGGTGCACACGGATCCGCGACGACAAGGACTGGACGACGGCCACCAACCTCCCCCAACTCCGAGTGAGTGTCACATATGGCCAGCCCTGCCGTTGGGTAGAGAAGGGAGCGGTTCCCCTCGGGCAGCAGAGGCCAGGAGAGAGCAGCCTAAGGGTCGGAGGGGAAAGTTCTGGGCTGCGGAATCCATCCCGAGCAAGCCCACTGTCTTTGGGGAAACGCGGGACGCTGCTGCGCTCTCGCTCTCTCGTGCAGAAGAGGGGATGCTGTGGCAAACCTGGGTGTGCATTTTCTTTTTAACGAGGAAAGCTGGGCGGTTCTTTTCCTGCTTTTTGCACAGAGGCAAGTACGGCCCCTGGAAGCTGCACGCTGTGTCCGAGGTTGCCTTGGGGTGTGTGTGTGTGGCTCGCTGTTAAGGTTTTGGCAGGTTTTCTTGACAAGGGATCCCTGTTGTCCGAGGACAGGAGCTCTACCAGCTGTCCAAGGTCAAGGCTGACTTCACCGTGGTCACCGCGGAGGAAGGGGACTCCCCCACGGGCAGCAGTGGGGACAATGAGGGGCAGCCGGCAGCGTCCATGCCACGCCGGCCTGCGAAGCCCCAGTCTGGCAAGTCTCCTGCCAAAGTCAAGAAGCTTGAAGGTGAGGTTTGATGGGGAGTGGAGGAGGGAGGCTGTTGGGAGCTTTGGGGTTTACCTGCCTGGCTCTGGCTTCGCCCCGCTCCTGGTTCTAGCGCTCGAGACGTGCAGAAGCCAGGCCAAAAGTTCCAATCCTTCACTTCCTTTCAAGCTGGCTAATGGGTGCGTCCTGAGGAAGGAGGTGCCCTTCTGGAGTGGCGAAATGGCAGCTGGCACGACCAATTTTAAATCGTTTGCCCTTTTATTTTGATGGCTTATTAACGGGTATTTCCGTAGCCCTAGTTATTGCTTCTTTCCTGCCAAAAACAGGCCAAACTGTCGTTTGGAAAAGCTGCACAGGCCTTTTAAACAATTCTACCTTGCTGGACCATGTTAAGTTTCCCCTCCGACACTTCCCAGTTTGCTCTTTAGACCAAGAGGTGATATTATAAAGGGCAATATAAAAGATGAGGCTTTATTAGGATTATCTTTCTGTGACATGGGAAAAAGAGGAACTGAAGGTAGGAAAAACAGTTGCAATAACATTTTAAACTGTCATTCAACCTCAGTCTTTAGAATAAACCAGGCTGTAAAAATATTTGTTTTATTAGATTTTGTTAATAAGTGTTTTCCCAGTGGAACTTCTTGAGGGTCAGTGATCCAGCTTGTAGTGTCACAAACAACCCACCACCTCTTTTATTTTTAAAAGACTTTTGGAGAGCTCAGGGGTTGAGGTTTCTGGCTGCAGAGCCTGAAGTTGCGAGTTCAATTCCTCCCAGTGTGCCTCCTTGTGAGGGGCTGGACTGGATGACCCCACAGGGTCCCTTCCAGCTCTGCAGTTCCGAGGCTGCTATTATTATTATTATAAAAAAGGATTTCTTTGTTTCTTTCTCAGTACATCCAGAACCTCTGTTTTTCAGAAAATCTTTCTCTTTTTCTAGTGAGCAAACCAGCTGAAAAGGCCCTGTTGAAGAAAACAGAGGAAAAACGAGGAGAAAAGAGGAAAGCGCCGGAGCTGGAGGGAGACAAGAAGGTAAGAACCCTGAATAAGTTGGTGCCACGTCCCCCACCCTTTTCTGAGTCCAAGGACTACCCTCTTTCCCTGAAAATAAGCCCTAGTCTGATTTTTTCAGGATGCTCGTTATATAAAGCCCTACCCCAAAAACAAGCCCCAGTGAAGTGAAACCTTGCCCTCCACCCTTGCGTAGCAACCAAAAGGCGATGACATGACTGTAAAATAAAACATCCCCTGAAAATAAGCTCTAATGTGGTTTTTTGGAGCAAAAATTAATATAAGGCCCTGTCTTATTTTCGGGGAAACACGGTACCCCGGCCTCTGCACTAGGGCTGAGCACCTGGTGAGGTCTGAATTAGAGATAGGGGTATTTGTATATGAATATTCCTGCACAGGTGGCGATTGCGAGGGTCCAAGCCCCATGGGGCCAGATGGTCCGCTCACCGATCTGCCACGGATACACAATTCTGCCAATGGCTCCGCAGCACACAATACACTTGCCACTCCTGGCAAGGAGGTGGGAGGACAAGTCTCGCTGCAAGGTGGAAGAGTGGCGAGCGGATTGTGCGCTGCGGAGCCATTGGTAGAATCGCGCCGTTCGTGGCGGATCGGTGAGCGGACCGTCCGGCCCCATGGGGCTGGACCCTCGCGATCGCCACCTGTTTGGGGATATTCGTATACGAATATGAATACCCCCATCTCTAGTCTGGATGGTTCTTGGATTTTGCCACTCCCATCATCGCTAGCCCAGAGATGTGATGATGGAGGGTCCTAAGAGTTGTCTTCCACGATCTAAAAAGGGCCACAAGATTCCCAAACCCATGAGAAACATAAACTTTCCAAAATGTTTTGCCCACCCAGCTTCATCCAGATCCTGCACACCCTGCCGTGCAGGAGTCAAAGCGCTTCATTTCTGCCTCACCAGCCCACTCACAATCTGTGAGGTCGGCAAGACAGATTTTAAATTGTGCCTTTTGGTTTTGTTTTAATACTCAATTCCTGTCCCACCTTCCGATGGTTTTGTTTTATTTGGCGGTACCATGAGCCCCCTTGAGTCCTGTTTTGGGTCCAAGAAACGCCCAATTTAAACGCAAGAGTTTAGATCCAACAAGCAAACCCAGAAAGGTAGATTCCTCCATGACTTGGGAGCTGATGGTTGCTTCACCCCTCCGTTTTTCTTCTGTAGCGGCAGTGCAGGAAACGATTCCACAGCCGTACTCTTCTACTGACTCTCTGGGGCCCCTGCGGTGGTGATTCCCACTCAGGTTTGGCACGGTGGAAGACCTGGCCATTTCCTTGGCGGAAATGTTAGGTTAGATGTAGCTTCTTCCTAGCAAGGACTGAATCTTCCTCCAAACACACACACACCTTTTTTTTCCTTTTGTGGTGTTTTCTTCTTCCCAAACAGCAAATCCTGCTGGACATCTTCACTGGGGTGAAACTCTACCTCCCCCCTTCCGTCGAGGGCTTCAGCAAGATCAGGCGGTATTTCATCGCCTACGACGGAGACCTGGTTCGGGAATTTGACATGGCCTCGGCCACCCACGTGATGGGCGAGGCGGAGGAGAACCTGGCAGCGAAGCAGGTCTCCCCGGACTGGATTTGGGAATGCATTCGGAAAAGGCGGCTGGTAGCCCCCTGCTAGATTCCATCCGGACCTGGGGGGTGGGTGGAGTGGAGGCAGGAGCTGGTCAAGGGCGGTGAACCAGGCAGTGGAAAATCAAGAATTCCCAATCTTTTGGAAGAACCTTTCAGAAGCTCCGCTCGGATGGGTTAGCTTCTTTTTCTGAAAAGAACCAGTGTTTTCTAGAATGAAGTGAGCCGTGGAAAAAAACACACTAACGTTAAAATCAGCTTCATCAGCCCAGGTTAGTGTGGCTTTTTAATGATACTTTTAAATACAGGAATAAAAGAGGACAGTCTTTTCCTGCTATATACGCTATTATGTCCAGGCCGTTCTAGAAGAGTTGTCCGTTTCCTGTGGTGCTAAATTCGGGCGTTCAGATGTGTAACCTTCAAATTCAGTTCTGTGCTGAATGAACTTCTTTGTATCGCATTCCCTCGATCCTGGGAAATTAAACAGGCTGAAAACTCCTCCAGAAGGCATCGCCCGAATGCCCCAAACCCCCTTTGCTTGTTGACCTCACCTGTATTTGTGTCCCTTGGTTTCTGGTTTTTTGAGAAAGAGAGTCTAATATCCAGGGAAACAGCTGGGAGTGGCCATTCACCACTGAGTGGGACCTTTTACTTACTTACTTACTTACTTACTTACTTACTTACTTACTTACTTATTTTGCTGCTTTCAGATAAAATGTGTAGAGGGCAACTTTGAATTTTGGTTGCAGGGGCTCCAGGTGTGTACTGGCAAGAAGGTGGCACCAGAATTCCCTTTCACAGGTCTGAAAGAAGGGCCTTACTGTAGCTCAGTTCACGGGACTTGTTCAATCAACTGTAGTCGGGAAGCAAACTGGAGGTAACTCACCCAGCCCTACTTCCCCTGAGATTTCCTGCATCCCCCATATGTTCATCACAAGCGTACACTTTTCGTCCAAGGATGCGCAGCCGTGCTTAGTCTCTTGCACGGACAGATGAGGAATTGCACCACATGCCTCGCTGCTGAGGAATTATTATTTGGTGCTTTCAATATAATTCTTACCATAATGCTTATGTATCTGCTTAAGAATGTGAAGCAGCGGATGGTTTGTTTGAATCCTGTTTAATGGTCCTCCAGTCTTCCTGTGCACGTGTGGTTTTTGAGAAGACGGGAGAATACAGATGTTCTGAGCAAATTACAGGGAATTTTTAGAGGAAGGAAAAGCTTTGGTGTCTCGCTCTTGGTGGAAAATTTTGCAAGGTTTTTAAGATTTCCTCACTGAGCCGAATCTTCAAGAAGAGATTTTTCAGAGGGATCCATTCCGTCCCTCCCTCGTTCTGGATCAATTTGGACGATTTTGAGATGCAGAAATCTCAACATGAAGGATCTCTGATCAAGGAATAAATTCCATTTCAATGTATTCTCAAAGGCTTTCATGGCCAGGATCTGATGGTTGTTGTGGGTTTTTCGGGCTCTTTGGCCTTCAGAACACGCCCAAAGAGCCTGAAAAACCCACAAAAACCATCAGATTCCATTTCCTGTGGACCGCAGGCAGCTGCCCCCAGCTGCACAGCCAGCGGTAAACGATGGGAAAGTGCAACCCAACATCATCTAGCAGGTTACAAGCTCCCCAGCCCAATCCTAGCTGAATTTGGAGACAAGCTGTACCGCCTTAGAGAAATCAGCCTCCCATCGTGTAAAAGCAGATGTCTCAAAGCTCTCCTTTGTCATACAAGGCTCACCCACACTATTTGCACAATCTAAGGTGGTTTGGTTGCCTACTGATTCAGATTAGTGGAGACCTGAATCACTCCCTTTGCTCCTTCGCCCCCATTTCAGGTTTATGACTCCCCCCCCCCCACTTTTGGGCCCCACTGATCCAGATTAGTTTGACAGATCGGCATCACCCTCGTGGAGACTTGAATCAGTCCCTTTGCTCCTTTGCCCCCATTTCAGGTTATTGACTTCCCCCCCCCCCTTTTGGGCCGCCTGGGTCCTTCCAAATCCCTTCCTCCCCAGATGAAATTGCCAAAGCCCACTGACTTTAAGAGATGAACAGAACAGACAGCTATGGAAGCCGGGAATTATTTTTGGGGGTGGGAGGGAAAGGGACTACATCAGTCTGAGCCCCACATGCCATGTGATTGAGCCCACGGAGGGTTCCTCGTTTCGTCCAAAAGTGGAGACGGTGGCATTTCAGGAGCCCATGAATACAACAGGAAGGCCTGCTCACGGTTTCCAGATGCGAGCAATTGTGTTCTGAATGCTTTGTGCCCAAAACATACCCTCTGGGTGTGGATTCCGTTGGAAAAAAAGCACAAGAGCTGGATTTAGGACACATTTGCATTTTATTATAAAATTAGAAAGCAAGAACTTGTATGAAGAGGGCTGCTTGAACCACACAGATCCTCACAGACTGTAGTTACTCCCACAAACATATATTGCTACGTATTTTTAAAAGGGACGGCGGGGGGGGGATCGGGAAAAATTATCATCTGAAGCTTAAATGCAACAGCAGTTCCCTCTCTGTCAAGGAACCAGTATCTCTTTGTTCATATGTTTTGCTTCGCAAGCGCCTCTGGGTCACCCACCACTTCACCATGAAAGAAGGTGGAGTCTTAATTATGAGATCTATTAATGGGTGACATCTTGTGACTTCTTATGGAGCAAGAGAGGAAACAAACGAAAAAGATCGCCTTTGCTGTCCTCTTGCTCTATAGTCTGGCTTATTTTCCAGATTTCACTCCAGAACGAGGTTGGACGGTTCTGGTGACATTGAACCAGGCAGGGCAGGACCTATCGGGGTGGGCCAGACCCAATGAACGGTTCAACAAGCCCGCCTCTAATACACCTTGGGAGATCACCTGTCTGGGCAAGACTGCTTTAAAAAGGCATTTCTGTGCAGATTATTCTCCTCTAAGGAGGACTAAAAGCCTTTCCTACAAAAGGCAAGGAGATTTTTTAAAAAAGTGTTTACAAACCAGCACAGACAGCTGATAACTTCAAGCAAACAGAAACCGAGGTTGCTGAGAAACCAGGATTAGGGAAGGTTGGTTCTACCCCAAGGGAGACCCCGTTGGGCAGGGAACCTGGGCTACTACATGCCCACAGTGTCATCTAAACCCTGGTTCTTTGGAAATACTAACGGGGGGTTGCAATATTGTAAATTTCTAGAAAGGCTTTCCAGCAGGTACCTCTGGAATTCACAGTTTCCTACGTATGACTGTGCTTTTGGGGTGGGCGCTGGCTACCACAGTGAGGATGTGGCCAACGTCTTTGCAATCTCTAGGACCCATGCCACAGTGTGCTCCTCACCTGGTCCGATGCGCCACCTGAGCTGCTCATACCATACACAAAACACTAACTCTAAAAAGTTTTAAGGCAAGCGAAAGCCTGAAAAGGTGCAAGGCATTTAGTAATTGAAGAAAGAGAGGCCGTGTGGCCGAGACGGCCACCAAGTCTAGCTGATAATTAAGACACGAGTGTGAAAGAAGCAGCTGATTAGAAAGTACCCTGACGTTTCAAGTTTTTTGAACCACACGGGACAGGATAAGAGAAATGAGCATCTCTCAGCCTGTCCCTGAGAGACGGGTGAATAAGGCAGCCCAGCTCCCCCACTTCATTCCTCCGTCTTTGTCAAGGAGGAGTTTATTCCCTCCTCTTAGCCCTTGCTCGGCTGTGAAGAAAGCACAGGGAGTCTACACAGGCCGGGGAGAAGGGGCTCATCTCACCTGCTCCAGCATCACGTTGAAAGCAGAAATGTGGTCACCTACGTCCAGGGAAGCTTGGTCACCGCCATGAGAACCAACCTCCCTCAGAATCGGGGTTCTGGCACCAGCAGGGAGGTATCCTGGGTTGAAGAGCCTCCCCTTCCTCAGATGACCCCCCTCGCTTGTGTTCTACACTATGACACACAAGGCGGACATTCTCCTCTTGGCAGGCGTGGGCTCCATCACATTTCCTCTACAGTTGAATCGGGTCCTCTTGTGAATGTTGGCCTCATCCTGAGACCCCTTCCTCCACAGGAATATCTCAACTGTAGTCTGATGGCCAAAGGGAATGGCTGATCTTTGTGGATAATAGGCAGAATCCCCTCCACACCTTGCCCACCACTGGCGGATTCAGTCCTCTGTCCAACCACGGGCCTCCAACTTTGACTGTACCTCAGTGTATGCCAGACAGACTTTCATTCTCAACCAAGTCAAACTTTGGCATGTTAAGGCAAAATAGTTGTTAAGTCGTGTCCAACTCTTTGTGACCCCATCGACCAGAGTAAAATAGACACTGTCTCATTAGTCTGTTTATAGCAGACTAGTACACAGTCTATGGCCAAGGGATGGTTTGTTCTTCCTGTTAGGAGAGATCTTAGTGGAAAGTCACCAGATACCAAGAGATCCCAGAACAATCAAATGAATGGACTCGTGAACCGAAAGACAGATTCTGACCCGTCATCACTAAGCAACCTTTGGGAATTGCATGAGTTCCCAAGCCTGCTCTCTCCATTTTCCTCAAATCGAGCGGCACAAGGAAAATCCAGACCAGGTTACTGGAGACCTCTCAAAAGTTACTGAACCTTCTACATGTCAAGAGTTACCCAAACAATTTTTTTAAAATCTAAAACTAAGAAAAGTGGCACCGGGACACCACCCCCCCCCGCGCGGCTGCCTCGAATCCAACTCAAAATCTCCTTTCACATTTGCAGATTCCCACCTCACCCTCCGCCCTGTGGGTGTCAGAATGGCCTTTTCCTCCACAGCCGTCCTGACCTTAGCGGCCTAATCTCAAGAGGCACCCCTGGTAGCCAACAGAACAACCTTCAGCTTGACCCGCAAGACGAACTGAGAAACCAAAGAGGTAAAAAACAACAGCTGAATACTCCGAACGCGTTTCAGAGGCGGGGCGTTTCAAGAGCCCCCATCCGCTAGAGGAAGGACGTAGATAGCAGCGATTCTCTCTTCCTCTATAGACTTGGTTTTATTCACTGCAGAGGAGAAGAAACTCTCCATGTCTGGGCAAGGCAGAGAGCGTCTTTTCTGCCCCATCGCAAACAAGGCAAGGAAAGGCTTGTCGGTCTGCGGAGGACTCCCTGCTTTCCAGGCACTGCGGTATAATGCACGGTCATAAGGCAGGGGACCCAGCCAGATCCCCGCCAGAATCTCCATCCCACCTCTCGCCGGCGGCTCAAGAGCTTCTTGGGAATGGCAGCTAGCTAGCCAGGGCTGTCTCACCGCAGTGGATGCATCTTCAAAGACCACCATCGCTCCATTAAGTCCTGAAGACATGGACCGCCCTGATCACGTACTGTCGGCAGATGGGGCATTCGTTCATGCGCTTCCCGCACTTGGTGCAGGTGACCATGTGGCCGCATTCCAGCAGGACACAGTCGATGACCGAGTCCATGCAGATCTTGCAGAGATTCTCTTCTGAGCCCGGGAGCGAGGTGTTGCCGGACGGCGCTGGAAGAACAAGGAAAAAAGAGTTTGAGGGAGCTCCAAGGAGCATCGTCCCCTACTTTCTTAAGACGCAAATTCAGAACAGTACAGACAGGAGAGGATCTAAGGGTTAGTTAGCCCAACCCTTCCTCATGGAGGGCTCAAAAGCTTCCCGGTCCAAAACGGTGACCAGTTGGCTGAGCCGTGGAACCATCCAGGGTCAGCTTCTGAAAGGATCTGCAGGAGGGTCTCCCGTCAACAGATTCCCACACTAGGATGTTCAGGACACTTCTGCTTCTACAGGACCAGGCATAATTCTGCTAATCTGGGGGAGATTTTTTTTTAAGCTCCTCGGACTCTCAGAAAAGAACGCACGGCAGGGAAAGGGGTTTCCCCTCCCCAAATAACTAGTTTTGGGAGGAGGTGGAGAAATGGCTTACCGGGTTGGTCGTCTGTATCGGTAACTGGAAAACAAAGGGAGAAAGCGGTGAGTCAAGGGGGTGAGCATTTGTAGCAGGGTGCCAGACGACGCTGGTGGCAAGGGGAGAAGGTTGGGGAACCATTTCAGGAGAAAAAGGAACAAGGCGGGAAGGAAAGAGCAAGGCCACCGAGTGACCCGCCAGATACTGGGAAACACATTCAGAGAGAGATAGAGAGGGAGGTAGGGCTGTTTGTCTGTCCCTCTTTCTGCAGGGCCCCTGAAGAGAGGCTATTTGTCTCTGGCAGGCTATCCAAGGTGGGGGTTCTGTTCTCGGAGCCCCCCAACCGCTTTCAGCCCAGCAGCCTTCACCTTGGGACCCCCTCCCCTCCAGGGAACCTTAAGTGCCCAAAGCAGCCCTCTGAGGTTTGCTTTCGTGAATGTTAACGTTCGGTGCAACCCCTTCCAAAGGAAGAGACCGTACCGAGCTGCTGGAGGTCCTTCTCTTTGTAAAGGCGGGTCACTCGCTCCATCAGCTCCCACTTTTCGCAACAGCCCTTATAGTTGACGAAGTTACGGGCCAGGATCTCCTTCAGCTGCCGCACTGAGAGGGCGCCGATGTCTCGGACGCTGGTGAGGTCGGACAGGGAGGCCCTCCGCACGGCAACCAGGTTGTCCTCCAAGTCGATGGACTGAAACAGGACACGGGGGAGAAAGGAAAGGGCCAAGTAAAGCATCACGCCGACAGAGTAGGCTCCTTTGAATCAGCAGAACTTATGGCGGGGTTGGCTCCCCAGATTCCTATAGATTCAGTGGGCCTACTCTAGTGCAACTTGCTATACTAAACCACCGGGTTTCGACCCGTGTATTATTACCAGCACACGGAAAAACCTAGGGGTGCTGCTTGCCAGTGCCCCCTACTGACCGATTCTGAGAATGAATTTTGAAAATACAAAAAAATAACGCAAAACATTTCCTTTGCCACTTAGGATGGATAAGAAGGGCGTAACTATTCCCGTCAAGCAGTGTCTGAAAGCAACATAACTCACTACATACCCAAAATATAACCTTGTTCTACTTTGCTACGTTGCTTTTAAGAAATGTTCTTGGTTACTCCTACCACAACCAAGTAACTAGTTACAGGCAACTACAAGCACCTTCCCTGTTTCCAGTTTTAGTCCAGAAGGCAGCACCTTCGGCTTACCTGCGTCTCGTCCTCTGTCACGTTCTCCCCTGCGTTCTCGATGTCCGCCATGTCCCGGTTTGGCAACACAGGCCCATTTGCCTGAGAGGAGAACATGCTGTTGAATCCCCAAGAAAACAGGGAACAGAGAGAGAGAGAGAGAGACCCACCAGCTTTCTTAGGCCCCTCCTGCACTCCTCAAGGGAGGCAAAATTGGTGCATGAAGAAGGACGGGAGTCAAGTCAGAGAAATGACCTAACCTATGTCCCATGGGGGCCCAAAAATGTGGTCTGACACTCACTTTACAGCTGCTTGAGTCCCGTTAGGACTGCCCGCGTGCAAAGAGGGAGGCCTGGGGGTGGGGTCTCCAAGGACATTGACTGGGGACGGTCATGATTGAGCTCCAGAGAGCTGCCGGGAGATCCCCCCCTCTGAAGGCAGGCTCTGGGGACTTCCATTATGACACCAGCTCTGACATCACGGAGAATGCCCGAGCAAGTGGCCGGCTCTTTGGGGTGCCCAGGGTTGCAATCCCAGGGACATGCTCCAGAGCATGGCTGAGCAGTTCTCCGCCCCCGAAGGAAGGTCTCGGGCATCTCAGCTCAAGCGGTAACCTTCTGTTCTCCCACCGGGAGCAGCTGGATCCCGCTGAGATGCTCTGCAGCCGCAGGCGCCCTCCAGAAAGGACAGGATTTGCTGTGGCTTGGCACAAGGAAAGTACTGCAAAAATTCATCCCCTTGGTGGTGACAGTGGGAAGAACAACACACAAGGGACTCCCGACCGTTTGCTTCGGGTTCTGCCTGGTGAGGCGGAGAGAAGGGAAAGGACTCCTTCCATCATGGAGCTGGGATCCGGCTCCTTGGCTTTGGAGTCTACTGGCAGCAGCTCTAAATCCCATCATCCAGTCAAAGAAGACATGAGCAGAAGCCCCACCAGGCAGATTTCCCCACATCCTGAATTATAAGAGCTAGGCAACTACAGTATTTGGATGATGGGGAGACTGGAGCCTTTGGTTCTTCTTATGCTTTACATTTCATGAGCCTCCTTGGACCCAACAAAACCCCCTAAACTGGTTTGGAACAGCTGCAGGGGGTGATGGAACTGTGGTTTATCCCCTCCTGATCTTCCACGGGCCCCTCAAAACCTCTCCCTTCAAAGAGAGAAGTCTCTTCCGCAAAGACTTTCGGAATGGGAGGCTCAGAGAAGTTCTTGTCTAACATCTCTTGCCGAGACCCACTGAGCGCACCTAACCACCCTTCCGATCTTGGGCCATGCAGGGGAGAAAGAGCAGCTCTGAGATAAATAAATGTCTTTAAAAAGCCTAAAGAGAGCCTTAAAAATGTGACAGACCTCATGACCTGGTCCCCTCGGGTCATTTGATCCATGCTGGTATTATCCAAGCACCTCTGCTAATGGAGGAGGGACCCCTTTAAAAGTTGGCCGAGGAGGTTGAAGGGGAAGCAGCTGAGGGCTTTCTGATTATCGCATGACCTGTATCAGCCTCTCGGAGATGGTTAAACCAGGGCATCTACTATCCAGAGCAAGGGGCCGGAAGGAGCTCCAGCAGCTTGATCTTGGCAAGTAATTCAGGGATAGGGCCGTCTTGTGAGCACATGCAGGGACCTGTAATGTGCCAGGAATCTCTCGCATAAAAATCCACTCCTGGTTTTCTCCTTCGGTGTTCTTCTGTTTCAACACTTATACAGTGGGGATGAATGGAAAGCAGACCTTTAAGCTGCTCTTGTTAAGATAAATTAAGTTGCTGTTAAGATTAATTAAAAGAACCCTTTGCTCTCTAGAGATCTGCCAGGAGATTGCAAAAGAACTTCGGCCCCCAATCATGGTCTACCTGCTGGGGCCCATGAGTCTCGCTCAGGTTCATCCTGACTGGGGCTAGGATGCACCTCCCACCCCGTGGGCAGGTGACCTTCCCAGCACTCGTACAGGATGAGATCCCTTTCGGTTGGAAGATGCCAGAAGACTCAATTTAGGATTCTGCATTTGCTCCAAATGCTGCATTATATTGCCTGCCCCATGTGTTCTCGTACGATTATTGTAAACCCTGTGTTATTTCAGGCACTGGAGTGTTTCAGAGGCCTTAATCTCAAACCGGCAGACCCGTGCCCCCACAAACCTTTAAAAATGCAGGTAGGAGACTTGCGAAGTCACTGCAGAATGACGGCAAGCCATCGCAGAGCGAGGGCCAGCGAGCAAACTTTTGACAAAGAGACCGGAATGGGCTACGGGGTACAGCGAATACCTGTGGTTCCTCGTCGGGCTGCGCGGCAAGATCCGTCGAGGGCTGCTCAGGAGGAACACACTCTGGCGAGGTGGGCACAGGCTGGTCCTGAGCGTTGAGAGCGGTGGTCATCGGAGGGACCCGAGGCGTCCGGTCCCCTTGAGGGGTGGTCGGCGGCTGCTGGCCAAGGATCAGACCCACCAGCTCGTCCTTCTCGCGGCACAGGGCTGTGGAGATCCCCCGGAGTTCGAGGTAGTCCCTCAAGTCCTTCACCTTCATTTTCAGCAGCTCCTCCCGCCGGAAGCCTGTGGCGCGGAACCGCTCACAGAGGCAACAGAGGCAGGGCCCGCCTTCGGGCTGGTACGAACAGGCAGGGCAGAAGATGTTTTTGCAGTCCAAGCATATGCACTGCTCAAGAAAAAGAGGGGAAACCGGAAACGTCAGAGCTGTCTCCTAGATGGTCTCTTAACTTTGCTCCACTGGCTTGTTAGCTCAGTGGTTTAGGAATCTGCGGCTGCGTAGACACCAGCGGTGGAGCCAGAGGTTGGGAGTTTGATTCCCTCCACGGTGCCTCCTGCAAAGAAAGCCAGCCTGGGTGGCCTTGGGCCAGCTGCACAGTCCCAGGGATACCCCTGGAAGGAGGAAATGGGAAACCACTTCAGAGTATTCTCTGCCTGGAAAAGCCTGGAGAGGTTTGGCATAGGTCAGAACTGACTGGTTGGCACACATTATTTTTCCCTGCACCCACACAGATTTTTTGACTGGTTGGCACACATTATTATTTTTCCCTGCACCCACACAGATTTTGCAAGGGTTTTGAGAATTTCAATGGTCTAATAACAGTATTGGTGCTGGAGGAGGTTCTTGAGAGTCCCCTGGACTGCAAAGAGAACAAACCTATCCGTTCTGAAGGAAATCAACCCTGACTGCTCACTGGAAAGACAGATCCTGAAGCTGAGGGTCCAATACTTTGGCCCTCTCATGAGAAGAGAAGACTCCATGGAAAAGACCCTGATGTTGGGAAAATTTGAGGGCAAGAGGAGAAGGGGACGACAGAGGACGAGATGGATGGACAGGGTCATCGAAGCAACCAACAGGAATTTGAACCAGTGGAAGACAGCAGGGCCTGGTGTGCTCTGGTCCATGAGTTCGCGAAGAGTCAGACATGACTTAACAACTAAACAACAACAATAACAGTATTACCCACCCTTGTTTGGGGGAGTTGAACAAGGCTCGTATGTCTCCCCACCCCACCCTCCATTTTTATCCTGCCTCCTCCCTGTGCATCGTCTAAAAACCAAAGAAGAATTCAGTTTTTCTTCTTCCGAGTTAGTTTTGCTTTACGGGAGGAATGTCAGAAAATAATTAGCCGGTCCAACAAAACTTCATACAGTGGTGCCCCACATGATGACGACCCCGCAGAGCGACGAAATCCCATGTCAGTGACTTTCTAGCTTTGAACAAAACGATGTTTCCTATAAGGGATTTTCATTTGACAACGATTAGGTCCTTGCTTCACAAACAAACAGTTTGTTTGCAAAACGATGATTTTTCTGGCTCCGCAAAATGGCTGCCCTGTGTTTTCCGGACCCATGTTTCGCAGGGCAGGCATTTTAACAGCTGATTGGCGCTTGGAAAATGGCTTCCCCTATGGCGATCTTCGCTGGACGACGAGGTAATTTCCCCATTGGAACGCATTAAATGGGTTTCAGTGCATTCCAATGGGGAATTATTTATCACATGGCGATGATTTCGCTTAACAGCGATTTTCCTGGAATGGATTATCGTCATGTGGGGCACTTACATTTATGATTGAGTAAGATTTCCCTAATGGCCCCCAAAATAGCAGAAAAATCACAAGACTGCACTCATTCTCCAAAGAGCCGCGTGCAGGTCACACAGAGCAGCAGAAAACCCACTCTCCATTCCCAGATTCCCAAATGTTTGGCTCAAAACCCAGCAGCAGCTGCACTGGAACCACAGAGAAGAGAAAGATGCAAGAGGATCCACCGATGTTCAATGCGCCTCCCTGTGCGCCACGACCCAACGACGCCCTCTCTTTGTTTATCCACTGGACTGAAATTAATGGTTGCATTCATGCTCGCTCTCCCCGCTTTAAATAGCGCCTTGTTCTAGGATGACCCCCCGCCTTGTAAACAGAAAGGAAAGCTTTCAGCAGAAGCTGGAGCATCGCAGCAGAACACAAGGTCACCGCCCAGCCAATGGCCAATCGTAAACGCTCACAGGGGAACTTCCCAGAAGGCTTCTCCTTTTCCAGGAAGTCAAGAGCAGCGTTTTTAGAACGGGGGACCAGGGGATCAACTGCTGGGCCTGGAAGATTATATTTGAACAGGAATTGATTAGACAGCTCATAGCTTTTTACACAGCAGTCAAGGCTACTTTTCCTGTTGCCCCCTGGGTGAGAGTAATTCACAGCCCTGGGCTTTATGGACACACAGTGTTGCGTGTCATTATCATGCCAAAGGGTAGCCTGAAGAAGAATCCCGCTGGACTCAAAAGCCTGCCTCGTTTGGCTATGTTGGGGAATCTAATAAAGACACAGCCCACTCTTGCAGGCCGGAAAATCGTGGTGTGTGATCTTTGGTTCCCTCTAGTGGCTGGTGTTGATACTGCACTGTGGGTGTATGCATGGGGTCAACGGGCGGTTCCCCAGCCCCCAATTTAATACAGTACCATTTTTTTGCCACCACAGTATAGGTGTGCGGCGTTCTCCAGCAACAGCCAGGATATACGTAACCTGCTTTGTCAATACACCTTGTGTGCCTGTGTTGTTCACCAACTTAGGGTGATCCCACCTGGGCTTTTCAGGTATGTGAGATACAAGGGATGGTTTACCCTTGACACCTTCCAGTGAGCAAGATAAATGCATTCAACAAACACAGCAGTGACTCTGGAAATTGCTTTCACTGACCTGGATGCCAGTTTCCCCACGTCTGGGAACCCTTTGTGAATCTAGGAAGGTCTTCTCCTCCATTCTCCAGAAAGAAGACAAGAGAGGCAGAAGCCGCACCGGTGACATACCGGGTATTGGTTGTTGTGGGTTTTTCGGGCTCTTTGGCCGTGTTCTGAAGGTTGTTCTTCCTAATGTTTCGCCTAAATCCTGGACTCCCAAGCCAACTACACCAGAGCACAGAGTGCTGTCCTCTGAAGATGCCGGCCACAGAGACTGGCGAAACGTTAGGAAGAACAACCTTCAGAACAGGGCCAAAGAGCCTGAAAAACCCACAACAACCATTAGATCCCGGCCGTGAAAGCCTTCGCGAATACATACCGGGTATTGCTTACGGCAAAAGGGCAGGAAGACATTCCAGGTGGGACCCCAGAATCCTAGAACGATGGCGTGGGAAGGGGCCCCTAAGGCCATTGAGGGGAACCCCCTGCTCAAGTGCAGGAATCCCAGTCATTGTCTCTCCGACGGTCGTTCAGTTCTCTCTTGAATTCACCAAAATGCAATGAAATCCAGAGAGATTATCACACACACACACACCCCAGCTCTGCACTCCCTTTGGCCCACTTCTGCCAAGAACCTGTTCAGTCTCTCCCTTTTGGAATCTAAAAAGATCTGCCCTACGACGCCGCGGCAGAACAGATTTTTGAAGCACTTCCAGCCCCTGCTTTTTGGGAACTTTTTCACCCGGTCAGGGCACCCTCACCATTTCTGCTGAGCCACCCCCGTAGGGAAACACCCTGTTCTCTGGCCATTCTAGGTTTGCAATCCGCTCCGCGGCAACCACACAGCGGGGATCTGGAAAAAACATGGTCCGGCCCCCGGCCCTCGCTTACCTTAAGAGAGGCACTCTGGAAACGCACCCGGCAGGCTCGGCAACTCTGCTCCAAACCGGTGGGAGAGGGGAAGGCACTGTAGCCGGCGTTGGCGTACGCCCGGGACCCCGCTTGCGGCCGATGGGGCAGGTCCTCCGGCTGTCCGTTCAGGCAAAACCAGTTGCAGCAGGCCGCCCACATGATCCCTGGAGGAGGAAGGAAAAACACAGGTCATCCTCGGCCGGAGAGAAACGGGTTTGGGAGCAGGAAGAGAGGAGGGACGGGACAAAGCGCAGGTTCCCTCTGTACACAAAGTAGACCCTCCAGGGTATCGGCTGAAGTCGGACGGCGAGCGGTCTTGCTTTACAGCGAGGTCAGGTTGTCTCCATTCTCATACAGAGGAAGAGGGTGCAGGTTCTCGACCAGGCCATGGCTATTGATTATTGATTTATTTAAAATATGTTTACTCTGCTTTTGTCCTTAACAGGGACCTAAGACAGCTTTCATCATGGAAAGACCATGTTCAAAGCTAGAAATAATAAGTATACCCGTAAGTATTTCTCACACTTTTGAGAAACGGTAAACACAAGCAGGACTAAAAACACAATCAAAGCAGGAAGACATAACCATCCAGTTAAAAAGCCCACAGTCAGCCACTCAGGGAAGGCCTGCCTGAAGAGAAAGGTCTCTGCCTGCTTGCGGAAGGACAGCCAAGAGGGGGCCAGGCTGGCCTCCAGTGGGAGGGAGTTCCAGAGTCTCTGGGAGCAGCCAGAGAGAAGGCCTTGCTCTGAGTCCCCACTAGACGCACCCTCGTGACCTTAAGAGCCGATCAAGCTCATACAGAGAGACACCATTCTTGAGAGCTCGAACTCAAGTCATTTAGGGCTTTATAGGTGAAGATCAGAATTTTGAATTGTGCCCGGAAACAGATCAGTGGCCAGTGGAGCTGCTATAACAGGGAGGGTTACATGATCCCTGTAACTAGCGAGAAGGTGCAGAAAAAAGATATTTTTTTTTAAAAAAAGAAAAACTGTAGTGGAAAAATTGGGAACTTGGTGAATTCTCCAAAAAACACTCGGAGGCCCGCATGGACCGAAATCCAAGATGGCGCAATGGCTGCTTCCTGTCTCATGATGGCAAAGGAATTCTTGTGTACATGCTTACTAAGTGCCACGGAGAAGCGATTCCAGAAAGAAAGAAAAAGGAGGCCCAGCCATCTCTCCCGGGGGTGAAGCAAAAAGAAAGACCCTTGGCATGCAATGCATTGTGAGCCCCTTCCCTCTGTGGGGTTTGGATAAACCTGATTTGCTTACAAAGACACCGGCGGTCGCCTTCACACATTCCCTTTTTTAGACGTGCCCTGAAGGTGGGGGACCTTGGAAGGCTGCTAGATTCTGATCATGTTGAGGATCGCGGGCTGGCTGTACCCCCAATGTTAACGCAGTGCTCCTGCAAGGAACGTGCGATTCTGTCTGAAGTCCAGCCTGTACAGGAAACATGGATGCTAATCTTAGAATGGCCGAGCTGGAAGGGATCCTCCGGATCATCCAGTCCAGCTCCCTGTCAAAGAGGCCCCATGGGGGAATCGAACTCCCAACCTCTGGCTCCGGAGCCAGAGACCGAAAAGCGCCGAGCTATCGTTCAAAGACGGGTGTCGTCACCACTCTCGCCATCAGGAACTCTGGTTAAGGCTCAGCTCCTGAACCCGGGTCCTTCTGCCCAAGCACAGCAACTCCTCAAGCCTTTCCCACTCACGGCACCAAGACCCTCATGGGCTGATTTTGGCAGGCAGGGGTGCCATTCATGCCCGTCCCCCATCTACCCTCCGGCCAGGAGCCTTCCACTCTTTGGGGCCATAACTATACGGGCACGGCTGATGTTTGGGGCAGCACCAGGCAAGAGGACAAGAAGAGAAGGATCTGTTCTCCATCATTCCAGGGCACGTCAAAACGGGCTGAAGGGCCAGGAAGCCAAGATTTAAGGTGAATATCAAGAATAACTTCTTAATGGTGAGAGCAGTACAACGACGGAACCCCATGACCTCGGGAGGTGATGAACGTTCCAACGCTGGAGGCCTTCAAGAGAAAAATGGGAAAACCCTCTGTCCGATCTGCTTTGATCTGGATTCTTGCCTTGACCGGGTGTGTATGTGTGTGTGTCAGACTTGATAGTTGTATTTCGGCTCCTTCCAACTCCACGGTTCTACGAAGAAAGCCACCCCCTTCGAGCAAACAACTCCCCGAGAATTCATCAAGGCAAGCTAGAGAGCCTGCCAGCTTCCGCTCGCCCTTGAGCCAAAGTCTGTTTCCTTGAAAAGTTGGAGAGGGACTCCCCGTGTTCCTGGAAGAAATTGTGTTTCTTGGTTGTTGTTGTTGTTGTTTTTTAAAGTCTTCCCACCCTGCCAGCCCGTTCTTCTCAGGGCAAGGAGGCCAAAGTGAAAGCAAAGGCAAGACCACCTCCTCCTACGTTGAGCTCCAGAAATATTTTCAGTAGGGAAAACATAATTGTGCAGAAAGGAGAAGTGACCCAGCCGGCAACGCACAGGAAGTTGGCGGCCGGCCCAGAAAAGGAGCGTGCCCTCGGCCTGCGTGATAGAAGCTCAAGGCTGTGGGTCCAAGTTGAGGCTTTAACCTAGCCTGGCTGGCTGCTCAAAGCAGAAAACAGTGGTTGATCTTCCTGATGAGCTGTTTGGTAGATCACTACGCCTGCCTTTCCTCTCCTTCAGCGCATAGACTCACTCTCTCTCTCTCTCTCTCTACACATAGACACTCTCTCTCTCTCTCTCTCTCTCTCACACACACACACACACACACACACACACACACACACACACACACACAGAGAGAGAGAGAGAGAGAGAGAGAGAGAGAGAGGTATTCCATTTTGAGAAGCGTCCTCCATAGGAAAGAGAATATGCAGCAGCATAAAAACATTAACATGGAAACTGAACTCTGAAAGACAAGCAGAGAAGGATTTTTTTATATATACAGTATTGGTGGAACTCAATTGGCGTAGTTGTTTGTTGGAGAATCACCAGTTCAGTTACTCGAGCAGGTTTAACTATAGTTGTTGTTGTTGTTGTTGTTTAGTTGTGTCCGACTCCTCGTGACCCCATGGACCAGAGCGCGCCAGGCCCTCCTGTCTTCCACAGCCTCCTGGAGTTGGATCAAATTCGTGTTGTTTGCTTCGAGGACACCATCCATCCATCTCGCCCTCTGTCATCCCTGTCTCCTCTTGCCTTCACACTTTCCTAACATCAGGGTCTTTTCCAGGGAGTCTTCTCTTCTCATAAGATGGCCAAAGTATTGGAGCCTCAGCTTCAGGATCTGTCCTTCCAGTGAGCACCCAGGGTTGATTTCCATTGCACCAACTTAAAATAAGACAAGATGGATCAATGCAAGTCCTTTTTTTCCCATTCTGGAACTGAAATAATTGACCTTTGTGCTTATAAACACCCACAGGTTGTCCACAGAGAGCGCTGGCCCTGGGAATCCTAAATGGATTGATTATTTTAACAACTCTGAGCCACACTTTCATTGAGGTGGCGTGTGCTTTGCGCAGGAAGCCCGTGAATGTGTCTGCTCTGCCACTTTGCCCCACCCTGGAGAAAGTCCTGCGGACGTCCTTGTAAAAGCCGGCGTCCATTTCTCCAGCATCCCCGTTATGGAAGCATCATCTTTCGACGGCACTCTTTGCCCTCCTCGCGCTAATAAAAGGCTTTCATTTACGCAACTGGATATAAAACAGTGCTCGGAGGCTGAAGTGTCCCTGCCCATAAAGGGAAGAGCGCCCTTCCCCTGGTTTCTTTGTAACCCCCAAAGCCCAAGCCGGCTCATTCTCCCCCGAAAGGACAAGACCTCCCACTTCAAAAAAATTAAAAGAGCCGCCCGAAGTATCAACAATTCGGAGGGCGAAGAGAAGGTGCCACTTGCAACTCGGAGGGAAAAAAAACAAGTCTGGTTTCTTCTGGAACTACGGAAGTGTTTCTCTGCCATGTCTGAAACTGGGGAGTAGTTTTAAATCCTACCCTACCGACAAGCTAAGATTGCAAAAATGCATTTTCATCAGGGTTACAAATACAGGCCAAAACACTCTCGCATCATCAGCCCGCGCAACGGAGTGATGTCACCGTTGGAGATAGTTAACCATGGACGGGAAGATCGTACCATATCTGTGAATAGAGAACACAAGGAAGACAGGTGTGCTTTTATACACCTGCATCGGCTTCTGCCAGTAAACCAAACCCTGTCCTGGAGCGGCCTTCACTCTGAACACCGTGGGGTTCTCCTGCTCAAACGCCATTATATTGCATTTAAACCTGACAAGGTCTGCAGGCGGGTGGACCTAAAATCACGCAGTGAGAAGGAGCCCCGTGGCTGTTTTAGCATGAAACCCAGGTTCAAACACGTTGACGTTGGCCAACGTCAACGAGCAAGAGGGATCAGTTTTGAAGCCGATGACAGAAAGCACCACAAGTAAAACTTCAGACTGACCCACACCATGTGTGTGCTCCGCATTGTACAACCAATGGGCTTCTCCACACCTGCTCTAGCAGTTACAGACGCTTCCTTTCAGAGAGCATCATGAGCAGATACAATGCAGTCATTCTTCAGCGTAAAGTCTATTCCCCTCCCCCCCCCCCAAAAAAAACTCTCTTTGACGCCCACCCTCTTCGCCGGGACCCACCCCATTTCATATTAAATGAAATATTAAATTCATTTCATATTAAATGAAATATTAAATTCATTTCATATTAAATGAAATATTAAATTCATTTCATATTAAATGAAATATTAAATTCATTTCATATTAAATGAAATATTAAATTCATTTCATATTAAATGAAATATTAAATTCATTTCATATTAAATGAAATATTAAATTCATTTCATATTAAATGAAATATTAAATTCATTTCATATTAAATGAAATATTAAATTCATTTCATATTAAATGAAATATTAAATTCATTTCATATTAAATGAAATATTAAATTCATTTCATATTAAATGAAATATTAAATTCATTTCATATTAAATGAAATATTAAATTCATTTCATATTAAATGAAATATTAAATTCATTTCATATTAAATGAAATATTAAATTCATTTCATATTAAATGAAATATTAAATTCATTTCATATTAAATGAAATATTAAATTCATTTCATATTAAATGAAATATTAAATTCATTTCATATTAAA